GGAGGAGGAGGAGGAGGAGGAGGAGGAGGGGAAGCGGGCCCTGGGCCACCAGGGCCTTCCCAGGACCAGCGCTTCACTAAAGGGGCCCAGAGACACGCAAACAAAGACACACACACACAAATCCCAGGATCCCCCATAGGTTCCCACACTTTCTGGACTTTCGTCTGCCCTACATTTTCCCATAGTTTCCAGGACGTCGACGATTGGTCGTGTCTGTGTGTTTCTTCTCCGTCTGATTCACTCTGAGCTGTTCCCTGACGGTTCGGAACGGACGTTGGGGGGGGGCTCATCTCGCGCAGCTGGGGCGCCAGCGGCGCACACGCAAAACGAGGAAAACGCTGGCGGCGGGGCCAGACCCAGTTGCGTGCGCCAGATTTCTTACGGTGAGCGAGGGCATTGGATAAGAAGCCATTGAATGAGGAATCCATGGTCTGGAAGCCGGTGAGACTCCAATCGTGGATCCGCCATGGATACCACTGCCGCCCTCCTCAGGCAAGGACTCCTCCAGGGACTGCAGCCTCCTGGGCACATTCTTTAACCAACGCCCCCACCGTGCCCCTTCCCAATGCCCTGACTCCCCCGTCGCCCGACCCGAACGGTCCCCGGGTTCCCGCTCGGGGCCCGAGAAGGACGAAGCACCCCATGGGGCCCCCTCCCAGCCCCCCCCCTGGACCCCGCTCTGCTCCACGGTGGCCTCCCCAGTAGCGCGCGGCGCCGTGGCGGCGGCGGCTGACGGCACCCAGCAGCCGCCGGGCGCAACCCGGCGCAGCGGCCACCCGCGGGACAGCAGGTACCTCCCGTACAGCTCCCGCAGGGCCGCCTCCGCAGCCCCCGCGCCGGCGCACTCCTCGAAGGAGGAGGAGGAGGAGGAGGAGGAGGAGGAGGAGGAGGAGGAGGAGGAGGAGGAGGAGGAGGAGGAGGAGGGAGGAGAGGGAGAGGGAGGAGGGAGGAGGAGGGAGGAGGGAGGAGGGAGGAGGAGGAGGGAGGAGGGGGAGGGAGGGAGGGAGGAGGGAGGAGGGAGGGGAGGGAGGAGGGAGAGGGAGGAGGGAGGAGGGAGGAGGGGAGGGAGGAGGAGGAGGGAGGAGGAGGGAGGAGGGAGGAGGAGGGAGGAGGGAGGAGGGAGGAGGGAGGAGGGAGGAGGGAGGGAGGAGGGGGGAGGAGGGAGGAGGGAGGAGGGAGGAGGGGGGAGGGGGGAGGGGGAGGGGGGAGGGGAGGGGGGAGGAGGAGGAGGAGGAGGGAGGAGGAGGAGGAGGAGGGAGGAGGGAGGAGGAGGAGGAGGGAGGAGGGAGGAGGGAGGAGGGAGGATGGAGGAGGGGAGGAGGAGGGAGGAGGGAGGAGGGAGGAGGGAGGGAGGAGGAGGAGGGAGGAGGGAGGAGGGAGGAGGGAGGAGGGAGGAGGGAGGAGGAGGTGAGAGTTTGAGCGTGCGTAAAACGTAGGGTTTCAGGGAGTAGTGCCTGGTGAGGGGGAAGGGTCTCTCTTGCCTTCTTCCCTTTCCCCCTCTCCGCGGCCCCTCTGGGGCTCAAGTTCCTTCTCGGGCCCTTGAAGGGGCGATCCGCGCGGGGAAGCGCGGCCTGCCCTGCGGACCAGAGTCCGCACAGGGGCCGAGAGCCATGGGGAGGTGAGGAGGAAGGTTTGAGGCTGCCCGCCTGAGGCCAGCAGACGCTGGTTGTAGGCAGCGCGGCCGAGAAGTGCATGATGGCTCTGCTGCCGATGCTCATCGGGGCCGTGGCAGCCGCAGAGATTGGGCGCAGATGGCGGGCGCAGCCGGCGACACCGGCTTTGCCGCCTGGGACCCGCGCCGCGGACGGAACGCTGCCCGCGGAGGCCGTGACGGCCGACGGAGGGGCGTACGCGCCTCTGCTGCGGGCGCTGGAGGAGGACCAGCGGCGCCGCGGCCTGGCGGCGGCCATGGAGGTGCCGCAGCGCCAGCCCCCTCACCCACCAGGACCGGCACCCGCCGCTGGGAAGGGAAGAGGAGGGCCCCCACGACGGCGTCGGCAGCAGCCCAGCCGGCCGCGGAGGCACAACCGCCAGCCGCAGGCGACAAGGTTGAGGAGGGCATACGGCGCCGCAGGAGCGAGAGGTGGAGCTGGTTCGCGGGCCGCCGGCGGGATCCTCCACTGCGGGAGAGCCCAGCGGGCACTGGTGGCCCAGAGGATGCAGAGGAGGAAGTCCGAGGCTGGTTTAGCTTTGGTGCAGTCAAGTTCGGAGTGAGCTGGCTTGGAGGTTGGATCACGGATCTGCCGCCAACTGAGATACAGTGGGCAGACTTGATGTGGGGTGGTGGTGGCTTGGTCGGGAGCGGGATCAACACTGTGGGCTACGCGGCGTTCGGCACCGGGTGGCCCTTGTTGTGCTGGACCACGTTTGCAGGACTGATTGTGGCGCTCGTCATTGGATTGGGATACGGTTTACATTCCATCGCCTCGGCGGTGGATGTATTGATCTGTGCGCCACTCCGTTGCCTGGGACGGGCGATGGGATTGTGCTGTCCAATTTCGAAGCCACAAGTTACCGCCGCCGATGAGGGAGTGGTGCCGGAGCTCAGGGGACCCGCCACCGCCATCGCTGTGGAGAACGATTTCTACGCCCAGCTACGCGCCAAGGGGGCCGACAAGGTGCCGCACCACCTGATCATCAAGGTAGGCGACACCGCCGCGAGGTTGGAGAGGCCACCTCTGAACACTGGGATTAAGTATAAGAAGGCAGGAGTGGCATGGCCATACCGAGAGGTGCTTGCTACTACGTCAAGGCGGCTACGCGACCTGCTGGAGGAGTCCCAGGACAAGGTGGTGCACCTGTGCAGGGACATGCCCTGCACGGACGAGGGCAACTACGCGGTGCACGCCCCGGCGTATGGGTATGTGACGGCTGAGACGGACACTAACCTGGAGGCCCTTGTGGAGGCTGCGCCAAAGCCCTGTTGGGCCGGCCGGGCAGTGGGGGCAGCTGCTGCTTCATGTGGGCGGGGATGTGCCGCTATGGGGTTGAAGGGATGTGCCAGGCTCTGCGGGTCCATCAAGCGCTGCGGCCAGAGGGGTTGCCAGCGCGGCCGCCGGAGCCGAGCAGATATCCCTGCCGCCCTATTGAAGGACCCGAACTCGGAGACGGAGTCGGAGCCGGAGCACCAGCGCTGTATGGCCAATGAGGTGCTGTACCAAGAGGGGGACACGATATTCCAGCTGTGCAAGGAGAAGTGTCGGGACCGAGCCCGAGGTGCCCCAGTCCGCCTGGTCACGGAGGATGGCGAGAAGTCGAACGTCAAGGGGGTGGAGAAGGTGGTCAACTTGTGCTGGCAGCACGCGAACGCCTACGAGCGCGAGAGAGGAGTCAAGAAGTGCGCGCACCTCGGCTGTCACGCCTTGGGTCGAGTCCTGAACCGTGGGGTGCTGACGTGTCTGGAGCACGACCTGGCAAATGAGGAGGCCGCACGTGTCGTCGCCGACGCCGAGGGACCAGCGCCTGTGGTGGCGGGAATGGTATCCGAGCAACCTACGCGGTACCGGTCGAAGTCACCTACGCCGATGACTGGGAGGCCACTCCTACCCTTGGTGTCGGCCAGTGGGGCATGGCTAACGGCATTGGTGCGAGGCCCTCGGGGTACGGAGATGGCGAAGAAGTACTATTGCTACGGGTGCCAGTTGGCTTTCGAGGAGGATGGTTGGACTACGTATCGTATCCCAGGGCTCGAGGCCCAGGCAACTGTCCCGTCCAACCTGGGGCCAGTGATCGACGACCGGGTGCGGGCTGAGGCTGCCGCTGCTGGAGCGCCTGCCATCATCGTGCGGACGGTTAATCAGATACCCGACGGAATGGACGAGCACGGCCAGACAGCTAGCCCAGCGGCCCAGGCGTTGGCACGAGGCGCGACGGGGAGGGAGGACCATCCCCTGTGCAACCTGACGAGGGGGATCGAGGAGGCAGGAGGGCGAGACGAAGGATACGCTCGGAGGCACCCGCCCTCGACCTCCCCCGCATACCCGTCGCAGCCACCGTGGGTGGATACGCTAACACGAGGAGAGCTGGGGGGCCTACTGAATGGGGCTGCCCGAGAGCGTTGGCGGCGACGAGGCGAGGCGGCCTTGGCTTTGGAGTTCCTGAAGGCGAGGGCCAGCGGAGAGGATCACCCGCTGGACGTGGCCGAGAGGTATCAACACTCCGAGGGTTTCGACGACCTGGGGGAGGCGTGCGACGCTATCGTGGAGTCGCTCGAGGCGTTGGAAAGGGACCGCGGCTCCTTCATGACGGACGATGAGGTGGAGAACCTGCGGCAGTTGGCCGAGGTGCTGAGGGAGAGGCGCGGCTTGAGCCAGGCACATGAGGAGGAGGTGGCGGGAGGGGCATGGCGAGAGGGGCTGGCACGGCCGGCCCCTGGCCCTGCGCGGCCGCCTACCCCTCCTATGGCCCGTCCATCGGCGGTGGAAACGCCACCCGGCCTGGGAAGGATGCCCGAGCCAGGCCGGCCTGCCAAGGAGGAGAAGGGGTCCACTCGAGGTTGGGAACCCAAGCGGCGAGCAACAGACCTGGGCGGACAAGGAGTGGACTTGCGGGGCAGTACTGCGCGGGCCGAGCTGGGCAGAGGCCCGCCGACAGGTCGACCTGGACATGACCCCACACCACCTCCCATGGACCTGTTCGAACATCGGGCTGGCCCTACCTTTGGGGTCCCGGCGAGAAGAGCGCGGGTGAGCTTCGACGAGGAAGACTATGGCCCTTCGGAAAAGTTTCGGAGGTCAGCGGGGGCACTTGGCGACTCTGAGGACAAGGGCAGCGAAGGGATGGTCAAGGTCATGGCGGACATCGCGTACAACCTCGACCTCACGAACAAGCGGGCGGAAGACGCAGCGGCGGGGAAGATGGGCACCCTCCAGTCGATCACTAAAGACCACGAGCTCCTCGTCCTGGCGGCGCGCGGATGCGGGAGGTTCCGGGTGGCCATCTGCCCGGGCGACTTGGGTCGGGCGCTCGTCAAGGCGCTCCTGCGTATGGCGGAGCATTCCTCGGCGTTGTTCAAGCACCACCGCTGGCCCACCCTGATCAACTACCGGATCGCGTTCGGCATCGCGTCGGGGTCATGGGGTGGCAAGTCGGTCGAGACACTGGCTGCTCATGCGCTCAGTGTTGCCGATTGGGTGACTTGCCCAGAGGAGTTGTTCGATGACTACGTACCCACGACAGAGTACAAGATTTAGCCACGCCCGAAGCAACCTGTGGATATGCTGAAGTGGGCACGGCAGGCCCGCAACGGCATATGGGCGGTATGTTTGGCGTATGGGGCCGAGCACTGGGACGAGAGGAGCGAAGCCTTAGATTACCTCATTCGGCAGCACGAGGCGAAGCCGCGGAAGTACACCGCCCGTTTCGTCCAGGATGCGTGGGAGGAGCTGAACGGGCGGTGGTGGGAGGAGCTTCGATGGAAGGTGAAGGAGGTGCAGCGCTACTGCAACAAGGAGCTGATGAGGAAGGAGGATTTCATCTTCGCCGCACGGACGCCGACACCAGAGGGACCACCTTTGCTGACACTGCCTACCACTTTCGAGGTGGAGGACCCGGACGGGTACTTCAAGACGGTTATCTTCGAACGCCTGGTCAAGACTGCGGACAACGCCTACTGGGAGAACGCGCACCGTGCCCAGCTGCGACCCCTTGCAGCGGGAGGAGTCGAGGAGGTCGAGGAGCGCCGCCCGGCGGGAGCTCTGCCCCAGCACCCTTCTGGTGGTGGGGGTGGAGAAAGGGTCGGCGGTCTGACAGGAGGCGGGGGAGGAGGAGCAGGAGGAGGCGCCCTGAAGGCTGGAGCGAGCAAGGTTAAACTCCCGCCGGAGGTCCTCTCGGCTCTGACAGGGCCCG